ATGGTATTTTGTCAGAGCATCCTGAGCTGAAAAGACAGTTTTCTCAGCAGTTACTACAAAGAGCTCCCGAATTATACAGTAAAGCAGTGTGTTTTTAAGGCCCTCTGATGGTTAATAGCTTGACTTAAAGTCAGAGAGACCTGGTTTTGCATTCTGATTCTACCAGCTATTAACATAGCTGAGTCATATGCTCACTATTGTGCTCCAAAATTTAGGCATAGCTTCATGGGCGTTTCAGCATGTTTTGAGTTTGGACTTCATAACACCAATCAGATAGGTGATGATAACAAGTATAAAAATGCTTTGAAAAATAAATGGAAGTACTCAAATCAGGTATATTACATATTAAGGTACAGACTTATGGAAGAGTATCCTGTTTATCAAATATATTTTAAGTAAATTGCCTGAGTACTTTTTAACTTTTCATAAATGTCAAATATGCTTTTATGCTTATATAGATTGTGTACCTGATTAAACAGTGTCATTCAAAAATTCATGTCCACCCAGAATTTTAGAATGTGACCTTATTTGGAAATACTGTCTTCACAGATGTAATTAGTTAATACTACCTGATAATCTACACTAATAAAAGGGTAATATGCTAATTAACTGGATGTCCTCCGGACATCTATCTGGACATCCTTCTGGACAAAGCCACGGTGGTGGGGGCCGAGGCAGAGGTGGTTAGGGGGGACCAGGCCGGCAGGGGAGGGCAGTTAGGGGCGACAAGACTGGCGGGGGGTGGGGGGGCAGTTAAGGGCGATCAGGCCAGCAGGCAGAGGCGGTTAGGGGAGATCAGGCAGGCAGGGAAGAAGTTAGGTGTAATCAAGCAGGCAGGCAGGCAGAGAGGTTAGGGGAGATCAGGCAGGCAGGCAGAGGCAGTTAGGGGCAATCAGGCAGTCAGGGGAGCAGTTAGGGGCATCAGGCAGGCAGGCAGAGTGGTTAGGTGTGATCAGGCAGGCAAGCAGATGAGAGGTTAGGAGCCAACGGTCCTGCACTGTGAGAGGGATTGGGCCTAAACCGGCAGTTGGACATCCCCCGAGGGGTCCCAGATTGGAGAGGGTGCAGGCTGGGCTGAGGGACCCCCCTGCCGGGCCTCTAGTTTTAAATAAAGTTCAAAGAACATAACAGAAAGGAGAAACCAACATTTGAAAATGTAATGAGATTTGTTTTACTGGAAATGAAAATAACAAATTGGCATTTTTAAAAATTCAGTGTGAGTAAAAATCACTGAAATTATTAAGACTGTAACATCTCTAAGTTGAAACAGTAATATTTCTGCCCTGACCGGTTTGGATCAGTGGATAGAGCGTCGGCCTGCGGACTCAAGGGTTCCAGGTTCGATTCCGGTCAAGGGCATGTACCTTGGTTGCAGGCACATCCCCAGTGGGGGGTGTGCAGGAGGCAGCTGATCCATGTTTCTCTCTCATCGATGTTTCTAACTATCCCTCTCCCTTCCTCTCTGTAAAAAATCAATAAAATTTATTTTTTTTAAAAAAGAAACAGTAATATTTCTGAACTTTAGGTTAAAATTAAACTTTTCTTTGAGCACCAAAGGGTGTTTTCAATATTCAAAACAACTCAACTTATATAGAAAATTCTACAAGGTTTCTCACGAAGACAAATGTGTACTGGGGAGTCTTGCCTTTACCACGTGACGTGCTATTGCTATTCCTGACCCGCGAGTCCTGGAAATTGTATCTATTGGTATATAGATAATTTGAACTGAAGCAGCACATGCTGGCTAGAATTCACTTTATATTTGTTGTAACAGTCCCACCCTTCCTTTCCCTCTTCCAGACTGATCTAATATTTCTAATAATACACATAGAAAAATACATCATAACAAACTACACTAGCCCTCCAAAATCTATGTTGTGGAATTTTAGAATAATTACTCTAGAAACTGACATTCCTTCTCTATGTAAACTATATAAACAAAGTGGACACAGACACGTTGGGAATTGTTAACACGTGATCTATCATTTACTAGAGGAGGAGGGTAGTGTTAAACACAGAAAATCTCCTTTCCTCTTTTCCTTTATGTTCAGGTGACTTTTTGTTGGCTGTTTAGGTGTCTATACTAATATAAGTGTGTGTGATTTTTTTGTAGTATGTTTCAGGTGACTGAAGTAAGGTGGTATATACCAGTGTGTGTGTGTGTGTGTGTGTGTGTGTATTTTTTGTTTTCGGTGCCTGAAGTGCATAAAAGGAATAAAGGTAAAACACATCTGCTGATGGGATGAGCAATGTAAGTACCCTTCTTTGCTCTACCACCACCCACTATAGATGTGCAACCTTAAGTCAAACAAGTTACTTTTTTCCCCTTTTTTCCACATCAAACCCCCACAAGGACCTTTTCTGATGCATAGTTTCCTTATCTGAGGAAGAGGATTAATCTCTAAGGTCCCAAACCTCCCCTACTTTTTTCTTTTTCTTCATTTGTTTCTATATTTGCTTCCTTCACATTTCCTTCTCACATCCAATATTTTGGCCCCATGCTTGTCAGTTTCATTTATTCATTTGACAAATACGAGTATGTGCTGAATGCTTGCTATACACTAAAGCCCTGTTCTGAGCATTAGGTATAGAGTGATTAATAAAACAGACAAAAAGCCCTATGCTCATGGAGCTTATTTCATTCAAGTGGGGGAGACAGATAAATAAGTTTTTAAAAGTAAAATATGTCAAATAGTCATAATGCTAAAAAAGAATAAAGTGGAGGAAAGGAGAAATAAAATGTGGGAAAGAGTGGTCATAAGTTTAAAGAGTGTCACTAGGAGGAGGTGGCTCATGTGTAAAGGCTTGAAGAAAGGGAGGGAACCTACTATGCAGATATCAGGGGGCAGATAGTCCTGGCAGAGAAAAGGCAAATGAGGAGACCCTGAGGCATGTGCCCAGCAGGCTTGAAGAACAGCAACAAGGCCAACTGACTTGCTTCATATTTTAAAAGGATCACATTAACGCTATAGTAATAACAGACTGACCGGTGGTTAAGGTGGGAAGGTTTTGGCTGCTGCAATAATTCACATAAGATATGATGAAGGCAGTGGAAGAAAGACACAAATCAAGAAAAATGCAAGGTTTTACCTCAAGTTGACATTTTCTGAGAGAAAAATATTGCAGGAGAAACTGTTTTTTTGCAGGCTGTATGGAGCAAGAACTTAGTTTTCAATACATGAACTCTGAGTAGTAACCTATTAGAATCCAATGAGGGAGATCAAGTAGCAGAGATAGCTTAGCATGGGCACTTAGCTGGGAACAGGAAAACTGCCACATAATGTAATTCTAGGTAACCATTCAAAAGAATGACATAGATCTTTATGTAATGACCTGGAAGGGCATACACAATTTACTGTTGTATTTAAAAATGTGTAACTATATTTCTGGAAGAATATATCTATTGTTAATAACAAATACCTCTAGGAGGGAGGTGGAGAAGGGTATAGTAGGGGTAAATGGTGATGGACAGAGACTTGCCTTGGGGCAGTGAACACACAATACAGTGTATAGATGATTTGTTGTAGAATTGTGCACCTGAAACCTGTATAATTTTGTTAACTAGTGTCACCCCATTAAATTCAATTAAAAGGAAAAAAATAATATATAAACAATATATGAAAGATGAAAAAGTATGCATTACTTTCTTAATAAGAAAAACAAGAAACCACAAATCTTAGGTGCAAGACTTAAAATTTACATTACATAGAGCAAGTATATATACATATACTATTATACATAAACTTCACTACACCTCTACACATATAAAAACTATAAATTCACATTATTATTAACATCCTTCCTACTTAAATGGCTGCAAAATCACTACTTTTTTTTTAATCCAAGCCACAGGCCTCTCCTCTGATGTCCTCAATAAACTCACAGAGCTAATGGAAACACTCCAAAGTAAATTTAGAACCTGAACAAAGTACCCAAAGCACATGAACAGACATTTTAAAGGTTATAAATGATACCTAGTAAATGAATACATGGAGATATATTAAAATACAACAGCCATAAACAGAGATATGCTAATTATAATAGGGTACCTTTTTTAACAATAAAATTATTTTGAAAATTATATCTAATACTACTAACATATGAAGTTAAAGTAAAAAGTAATAACTATAAAGTAAATTCTTTTCACCTGATAGAGTTAAATACTTTTGAAAATTATAACTAATACTAGTGAGAGTGCAAAGTGATATTATAAATATGATGGGTGCCTTTTAGAAGAGATATGAAATCACTAACCCATAAAATTATTCATGGTTTTGACTCAATTTAGAAAAAAATGTATCTTATACATTTTTGAAAATATTTTATAAATATTTGAAAATAATTCAAAATGTCAAAAAAGCAAACACATGAAGTTGTGCATTAGAACACCAATCATAATAGCAAAAATGAGGGGTAACTAAAATACTAAGCAATGGGATTCATGGAAAATAAAATATGTCACATCTACTTATCAGAATGTTAACTACAGCTTCATTATTAGAAAAACAATGCTGATATTTTATAGCAATATGAAAAATTATTAATAGGATCACAAGTGAAAAAAATTAAGATACAAATACTATGGTTCAATCTCATTAGAAATGTGGACCTGAAATGGCCTAATGTAGAAAGGCAGATGGAAAAGTAAGCAAAAAACCCCACCAATGTCATTGTTTTCTAAAGCATCTTTATATAATAAGTGTTCTTCTTTTTATGATGAAAATACCCAGTAGAAAAATAAAGCACTTGAAATACTTAACAAACTGAAATATTTTTAAAAAACTATTTTCTCTTTAATAAGAAATTGCTAAAAGTAGTCTATCATGGAAATTTCTCTAACACATTAAAGAACCCATTTCTTATACAAAGACATCTCATTTAATAGCAAAATAAAATCATGATGAAGCCAAGTTCAAATACATGGGCTAAAACTAATTGAACACATTTTTTCCCTCTGAAGATCAGGAGAATACACAATGTAATAATTCTTTCATACTTACCACTGTGCCGAGAAATTGAATGCTCATGTTTCCACCTGCTTCTCGTGAAAGACACTAGGGGGAGAAAAAGAGGTATAAAATGAACTCACAAAAATGTGTACCTGAATGCTTACACCAGCATTATTCCTAATAGCTAAATAACTCATGCTCATAGCAGCATTATTCCTAATAGCTGAATAACTCATGTCCAGAGACTGATTAACAAAACAGCAATGGAATATTATTTGGCCATAAAAAGGAGTGAAGTGCTGATACATGCTACAACAGAAGCCAGGCACAAAGGACCACATATGATATGATTCCAGTTGACATGAAATGTCCAGAATAAGCAAATCTATAGAGACAGGAAATATATTGGTGCATTTTGGGCATTCTTTGCAGAAGACTCTCAGTCGCCCCAAAGACTTCTGGGCTGTCAATAACTCTGGCCCCAGCTAGCACAGGTTGCAGGTTTTCTCTTAGTTTGTTGCCCAAGAATACGCCAAATATCACATCTTTTCACCAGAGCAAATTATTTTATACCACTTTGTCAAGAAAAGTACTAGAATAAATTTTTGATGACCCAAGAATTAGAGGGGAACAAAGTGAAAACTGGAGCTTCATAAACTTGTTGGCACTTAAGAACAAAAGCAATGAATATGTACATAAACTTCGGTATGTCCTATTATAAAAACAAAAACAAAACCATGCTTCCAACTCTAGAGCAGGAGGCCAAGTGGCAAAGATCGTCGATGCCAAGTTGGAGTGGTTAGAAAAAGTAGTGGATTCCAGGGCGCATTAGATAAGGTTGTCCAGGAAAGGGAAGCTATCCTCAGGCTTCTTGGACCTGCTCAAGCAAAAGCCAGATCTGGTGCTTCTTTTTATGAGACATCTTTGGAGGAATCATCTGACAAAATTTCAAGAAGTGGACGTTACCTTGGTGCCTAATTAACAGATACAATAGGAATTCTTTGCAATATTCCATGTGAAACATTTTGTCAGACCAAAACTCGAGAAACAAGCCCACACTGAATCAAGGATTCTGGCAACTACCATTATACTTTGTGTTTCTATGAATTGGACGACTTTAGATACCTTATATAAGTGGGTTCATACAGTATTTGTCTTTTCGTGTCAGAAAAAAATCACTTCTACTGTCGTGGTAAACAACCTGCTTCCCTATTTATAATGGTCTGACCCTCTAGCAACTTCAGCGCAAAATTATAGCTAATTTGCCTACAAACGTCAGGTGGTCATAATAACCTGGCCACTCAGTGTATACCTAGAAATGGGATTACTGGATCATATGGCTGCACAACTTCTTTGAGGACCACCCCCATAGTGTTTTCCATACCAGTTGTACAAAGGTTCTAATTTCTCTGTGTTCTCACAAACACTTGTTAGTAGCCATCCTAATGGGTGTGAGGTGGTATCTCATTGTAGTTTTGACTTGCACTTCTCAGATGATTAGCATGCTAAGCATCTACTTACATGCTTGTTGTCCATTTGTACAAGATCACTGGAGAAATGCCCATTCAAGTCCTTTGGCCATTTTTTAATTAGGTTATGTTTTTGTTGTTGTTGTTTTGTTTTTGTTAAGTTTAGGAATTCCTTATATATTCTGGATATTAACTCCTTATCAGATATATAATTTGTAATATTTTCTCCCATTCAATAGGATGCCTTTTCACTGTTAATTATATCCTTCGATGCACAAAGTTTTTAAGTTTGTTGTCATCCCATCTGTCTCTATTTGTTTTTGTTGCCTATGACTTTGATCCAAAGAATCATTCTTAAGTCAATGTCAAGAAGCTTTCTGCTTACATTCTCTTCTAGGAGTTTTATAGGTTATTCATTTATTTATTTTATATTTTATTGATTTTTTTACAGAGAGGAAGGAAGAGGGATAGAGAGTTAGAAACATCAATGAGAGAGAAGCATCGATCAGCTGCCTCCTGCACACTCCCTACTGGGGATGTGCCTGCAACCAAGGTATATGCCCTTGACCAGAATCGAACCTGGGACCCTTGAGTCCGCAGGCCGACGCTCTATCCACTGAGCCAAACCAGTTAGGGCATGAGTTTTATAGTTTTAGATCTTATATTTAGACCTTTAATCCACTTTGAGTTCATTTTTATATATAGTGTATGATGTGTCCAATTTTATCCTTTTGTATGTGGCAGATCTATGGTTTTTAGAAGAAAAAACCTAGCTTATGTATATCACATTTGTTTCCAACTACCATCTGTCCTTTGAGTTAAAGACTCAGTTAACTGTTAACTGAACATCAATACCTGGATAGCTAATGCACATATTAAATCTACAAGGTCCACACAGAATTCTTGATTTGTCTTCCCAAGCTGCACCTCCCTGAGGTTTCCCATCTCCGTAAATATTACTATTCATTCATTCTGTTGTTCACCCTTAATTCTTTAACTTTCTTTACAACCAGTATCTAATCCAACTGTCAATCTTCTGTGCCTTCCCGCCTAAATATATGTCAAATCAGTTCACTTTTACCATCCCCACTGCTACCACCTTCATCTAAGTCAAGGGTTGGAAAACTCTCTGCAAAGAGCCATATACTAAACATTTTAGGCTTTTTAAGCCCAAAGGCAAAATTGAGGATATTATGTAGCTACTTAGATAACAAGAGAGAAAACAAATTTTCACAATTTTTGGTAACATTCAAAATATAACTAAGCACAATTTTTCTGTAATACTTCAATGTCACTTTTAATGAGATTTTACATATTTCATCTTTGAAAATGTCTTTTTCCACAGACATTACTGCCAAATACCAACATCGATCCACAGGCATGTGATTTCACTTGAACCTATTTGGCACTTGGAAAAGCATTTACAGAATTTTGTTAGATTCTTCTCTTGATATTTGCCTTTAGCATAACATTATGGTGCAGTTTAATCACTTCCAATGAAAGGTTAGGAACAGTTAAATGGATTTTTAAATATGGACATTTCCCCTGCTTTTGCATTGAGGTTTAAAAGATGCTGCTGGAACTGTGGTGGTTGAGGGACCAACAGAAAAATTTCAATGTTGGTCCTGAGCACAGAAAAAATATCATAATATACTTTCCCACTGCTATGCCACTGAACTGCTGGGCAGTAAGGTTCTACTTCCAACAAAAATTGCAAAAGCAGCCATAGACAAGATAAACACGAATGGACGTGGCCATGTTCTGGTAAATCTGTATTTACAGACTGAAATTTGAATCTCATATGCTTTTCATGTGTCATAAAACATTATTTTTCTTTTAACTTTTTCCAACCACTGAAAAGGTAATAACCACTCGACTTTTGAGCCTTACAACAACAGACAGTGAGCTGGACTTCTCCCTGGAAGACTGCAATGGTCACATAAACAATTTCTCTGTCTCCACCACTCATCCCCTGTGATTCATCCTCCTCACAGCAGTAATTTTAAATCACATCATACTATTCTTCTATTCAAACTCTTCAAAAGCTTCACATAGGAACTGGAATAAAAACACACAAAATTCTTTGGCCTACCAAGATGCTATGTCACCTGGTCCCTGCCTATCTTTTTCCACTCTCCTAACTATACTCAAGACATTGGCCTTCCTTCTGACCTGCACACAAACCAAGTATTTGCCTGTCCCAGGGCTTTTGCACTTGCCATTCCTTCTACGTGGGACTCTCCCCGTCCCCTAGATTTTTGCATAGCTTCCTTCTTCTCCTTATAGGTCTCAAATCAATATTCAGACAGGACTTCCTACCCACCCTATCTCCTCTAGTCATTTTCTAGGAATTATCCTATTTTATAGTCTTCATCAACCTTCTCAATACTCATATTACCTTTTTTATGTACTTAAATGTTTGGTATCTACACCCCCCTGTCCCCACATAAGTCTTGGTCACTGTTGTATCTCCAGAATCAAGAGCAGCGATTTCGAACCACCATGTCACAAGAATTTTTAAGACATGCAATTAGTCAGGGCACTGACCTCTTTTCCCTAGATTGACAAAAAAAATTGACAACAGACAACACAACAATAGCTGTCTGGTGTGAATGAATCAAAATTATACCTACTTTTTTTTGTTTGGCTGGTGTGGCTTGGTTGGTTGGAGCATTGTCCATACACTAAAAGGTAGCGGGTTTGATTATCAGTCAAGGCACATACCCAGGTTGTGGGTTGGATCCCCAGTCAGGGCATGTGGGGGAGGCAACCAACTGATGTTTCTCTCTCCCCCTCCTCTCTCTCTAAAATCAAAGGGAAAAAATATATTTTTTGGTGTGCCGCAGAATTTTAGTAATTATGTGTGCCATGAGATTAAAAAGGTTAAAAATTTCTGATCTGGAATATTGTATAGGTCATACTTGACATTAAGGGACACTTTCTATGTAAGGGACACTAAAAATATAAATAGTTCCTTTTCCTTACCCTACAGGATTAGACTGATACCCAGGCAAATAAAATTTTATAATACATAAAATAATAGGTTTTAAAACTTATATTTTAACATTAAAAACACAATTAAATTTTATCAATGAATATGCAAACCATAGATATAAGTACCAAATAAGTTGCCCTTAAATTCAGTTTAAAGCAGGCTACAATTATATACATAATAGCTATCAGCTTCTCCGCCCCCCACACACCACACTACTGGAATCTATATACTTGATTAGGGAGAGAGGGAGAAAAGAGTTGAGGGAAAGAGGGAGAGAGGGAGAGAAGGAGAGATCCCAAAACCTAACATATCTTAGCAATAGGATTGATGTAATAGAAAATAGGAAAGCAAAATTTCACTCAAAACTGGAATGTGTTGTTATATAGGAAACAGGAACATACATTTTTTCCGTAGTCTAGGATTAAGACAATTAGGTTTTGGATCCACCAAGAACAAAATACTCAAATGCCTACAATAAATCTGAAGCACGCCAAGACAAATATGAACGGACCATTTGATAAGCTAATAGCAAAAAGTAAAATAATGTAAAAATTAAGGCTTTTATTTTCATGAAATATATTTCATCCTTATTAAAATATTTCCTCCAAATATTTTACCCCTTTTTCTATTTTAAGTTGCAC